ATTGTTATTAAAATTTAGATCAAACTGCATAAAATCCTCTTTTTTTCAAGTTTTTTATTTTATAATACATATACATATCAATGCGTGAACAGTGTGACACTTGGGTGCCATACATTTCAGTACAAATAAAATATTATTAATCATAGTTATCACATTCATCCAGCTTATATATTTCTAATAGTAATACACATTTATATCTAATTATAATATTTCATTATTTCATATTGTTTAAACATACATAATACTACTGCTGTTCAATTTCTAAACCTCTCTCTTATCATTACACTTATCTTATAAAAATGTGTATACTAATACTCACCTTTCTCTTATTTCTGTCTTTATTCTAACATATTAATATGATTGTTATATTAAAAGACGTTCCATTTGTATTACAATACTATCCTTCATTATTTCAATATTCAAAATTTAAATATGCAATTCTAATACCAATCACAATATTATTTAAACATACAAATTAATTTTATTCATATTCTTTACATTCATCCAATCTATATGATTCCACTATTAATACACCGTTTACACCAGTATTAAAATATGTTTCATCATTTTACTAGTCATTATTTATCCTTCATTATTTCATTATTCAATATTTCAATATATTATTCTAATGCCAATCACAATATTATTTAAACATACAAAATAACTTTTATTCATATTCTTGCTTTCATCCAGTCTTTATGGTTCAATTATTAATACACATGTTTATATTAAAATATGTTCTTTCATTATTTAATTGTTCTGCATTTACCAATTACAATATTGTTTAAGCTTGCCTATTCTAATTTCTCCTTATGCCACCATAATAAAAAAAAGGAACGAAAAATAAAATAAAAGAAGATTTCTTTTCTTTCTCTTTCCCTTCTTTTTCTTATCCACCTTCTATCCATCATCTCTTGTCCGCATCATTACTTTAATTCTTATTCTTTTTTTAAACTTGCCTTCCATATTGTTCTCTTAGATCTTTATCTCTGTCTGTATCTACATTCTGCCTAGTCAATCTAAGTGTTTCTCCCATCTCTACCCTTTTCCACTGTCTAGCTTTAAAGTTATCAGGCCTAACCCCTGTCTCCCTTCCCAAAGTATCTTCCTGCTCCTCCCGTTTTCTTTTCAGATCTCTTAAAATATTTTCCCCCTGATTTGATTCATCAAACATTATTAATTATATTAGTGACTTCTCATTATCTTCTTTCCGTTGATTCTGTTTTTCCCCTCTATTCCTTCTGGTAGCTCCTTCCTTTCCTGGGCATCTTGTTCATTACTTCTTGTCCTTTGTATGGTGTTTTCCAATTTTTGATCAATGCTATCCATTAATTCCATCATCACCTTATGCTCTTTCTGTATAATATCCTTTATACTTTGAAACATTAAATCCATCTCGATCAAAGTTCTGCTCGTTTGCTCCTTCTGTTGCATCTTATCTTGTTTTAATAAATTCCACTTTTAGTCAATAGCCCAAGAATCATTTATTCCAACCTGAGGTTACTCTTCAAAATCTCCGCTGATCACAGTTCTTTATGTTCCATAAATAGTTAGTCAGGTCCATTTATATAGTCCAGGGAGTTATCCAAGCCTCTTTGAGACACCTTTCTAGATTCAGTCAGATAGCTTAACATTCAGGGGTCACTTTAATTAAATGTCTTCCTTGTTCTCACATTTAAATCTCCATTGGTCATAGGGTAGATGTATATAGTCCAATAAATATTTTCACAGTCTTTTAAATGGGTATTCCCAGGCTTGTATATTTTCCTTTCATCATCAGGTGGTGCTCTTAGGTTAATTTTCACTATTACTAAGAATCTGATTTTAATTATTTTAAATTGCAATTCAATTATAATTCAATTAACCAGTGTTAATTTTTTAAAACCATAATTCCAATATTTTAAATTGCCTTCCCAATGTCATGTCTTCCCAATTTGAAAGTCCAATTTCCTGCGTTTTTAAAGGGAAAACAAGTTTTTTCTTCCTCTCTTTAATCTTTTTCTTCCTGTCTGGTAATATTCTCAAAGTGTCTGATCACCGCTTTCAATAGTTCTGAGTAAATCCTATTTCTCTTTTGGGGTTAACTTTTGGGTAAAAAAAAAATCCTCTCACCCAGTTCCACACTGTTCACCAAAATCCACTCCAACTCAAAGCTTAGCTGGTCATCGGCTGTCTCTGCTTCATAGCAGCCATCTTGGCTTTCTCTTCTCCTCATTGTGCCTGAGAGGGAAAGTAAGCCCCGGGTCAAACAGGATAGCTGTGACTCTTCAAGACTTCACAGGGCACCCCTCTTTGCTTCACTGCCCCTCCAAGGTGGCTTTGGGTCCTTTCAGAGCCCACCCAACGGGGAGAACTTGGTACATGGAGACGCGCTCTCCATGTCTGATCTTGCTGCGCCGTCAGCCAGACATCCTGCATAAAATCCTCTTGTGCAAAATATGTCAGTAGCCATGTGAAGGAGACATCTTTTTGGGTTCTATCATTTCTTGCTGGGGCTGAGATTAGATTTCAGAAGCCTCACTCAGAAATCAGTGCTATCTGGGGTATTTTCATCAGGACTTGGAGAGCATCTGCTGCTGCTTTCTTCTGCTGTTTCAGATAATTTTCTGAATAACTCTGCACGAAGATAAATGTGGTACTCACAGAATTAAGATGTTTGTCTCAACTTAAATCCTGCTTATAGCCTTCCGCAACTGTTCACAATATCCCTACCCACATAAATAATTCATGAACAATCTCCTTCAGATCTGCAAAGACATAATCATTTGTGGTTGGTTAGGTACCAATTACTTTGCGATTTGGACATGTCTTACAAACGGAGAGCGGGTTAATTTAAAGCTGCACTGGCAGACCCTCTCTTTCAATGGTTCTTCAGTAAATGTTAATTATAATATACTTCAATCAGTCAGGCTGACCCTGCTGACTTACCCTAGTTTGCCTTGGTGAGGAGCTCTTAGCTCTTTTACTTCTCCCTTCCGTCAGCTCTAGAAACCTCCTGAAACACAGAAGTAGCTGTGTAACTATGCAATCTGATATATGCAGACACTTTTAATGTGAATTTCCCTTTTGAAGGTAAGGAAGGTAGATTTTAGATATTGCTGTAAAATAGTTTAATTGTGTATGTGTGTGTGTGTGGAAAGAATATAGGAAAACCAAGAAAAGGAAATCACACAGAGAGAATCGCAATTAATATGAATACAATCAGCATAGATTGTTTCCTAATATAATGCAACCTGCCTAGCCTATAACCTTCTTCAAGAAAATGTTAGGGTTTAAGATACATTCCAAATGTATTCCAGAGAGCATATGAGGTAGCAGAAAAGAGATAATCTAAGCTTCCTATACACAGAACCATCCTTCTTTCCTTCCTTCCTTCCTTCCTTCCTTCCTTCCTTCCTTCCTTCCTTCCTTCCTTCCTTCCCTTCTTCCTTTCATTTTATAGGACAAATTATTAAAGAAGGTATAGAATTCAGAGGCTATGTAAAAACCTATGCCTTTAGTTAGACTGAATGTTGTTGGCCCATTTTGAACAATATGCGTTTTCATATCCTAATGTGCTGGATCTAATCAGCATCTCAGAAATCATCTTTTGGCTAAACCCACCTTCCTAGTATCTTTGGCAGAATGATAAATGTACAGATTTGCTTTCACCAGTTGGGTCATTTTGTAATCAAATGAGACAGGATTTTTTGAAGGCAGGGGGAGGGAACAAAAGCTAAATTAAGGCCTTTTGGCATAGGTCAATTTACCAGATGCTTCAGTGAACACTTGTGTAATGCCAAAACTAAAGTTGTTGCAACATGTCATTGAACTTCTGTTCTTCTGTGCCCTGTGCAACTGTGTAGTGACTCTAAATGTGTTGTCCCACTTTCAGTTTAGAAGAATGATTATTAATAAGCCCAATAAGAAAAGTGTGTATATAGTAAGAAAGAAGCAAAAAAAAAAAAAACCCAAAAAAACCCCCCACCCCTTTCCATTTCTTTAAAAGCCAAGGGAAGCTAATAGCATTTGAATTAAATTCCTTTATAGCAAAACATTATTTTTTTAATTAATTTTCTACAGTTTTCATAACCTATAATCAATTTGTCTGTCATTACTGAATCCCATGTTGAAATCTATATAATCACCAGCCAGGTGTAGATCAGCCTTTTCCAACCTGCTATTTTCCAGATGTATTTGATAAATGCTTTCATAATCTCCTTGCAAAATGAGACTGGTGCCTGATAATGGATACTGTAATCCAATACACAAAGGGCTCCAAAGTGGAGAAGGATATAGTACTTCAGTAAGAATTCTATGACTGTGAGCTACAGCTGGTGTTATCCTTCATATTAAAGATTGTACTCTAAAAGTGAGTGGGAACAGGATTCAGGAATTTCCTTGGGGCTGTGCAAGGCTGAAGATATCCATTTTGCCTTTTAATCCCCATTGAAAAGAACAAAAATACCCAATGTTTTGGCTCCACCAACCATGAGGGCTCAAGGAACTGAAAAGAAATGCTAATGGCCGCTTGCAGCCTCTTTCTTCGTATGATTGCTTTTTGGTAGAAAAAGAAATAGAAAGAAATGGACCAATATCCATATGTTATTGGTGATTATAATTTTAAGAGTCTTCTTGCAAGATACTAATCTGAAGCTGGAAAATTGGTCTAGATTCCATTTATTAACTTCCTAAGAACTCTGTTGGGTGTCAGTGGCTTGAAGCTTTGAGACATCTGGATTGGGGGACAACTCACTAATTTGCTAATGTATCCTACATTTTAAGGGCTTAAAGGTATCCATGATACTCATTATAAATATGGAAGAATTCTAAAAGCATTTTTAAATAGCTGTTCTTCTCCACTATTGAAGGCTATGATCAGCCTGAATGCATTCTCTGCTTTGGCATCATAATACTGGCTTTTCCAGAATTGGGCAGGCATACTAAAAACAGCAAGTTGATGTGCAGCTCTAAAACACCACAAATATTCCTTTCGTAGCTTATCGGTTCTTTCTCTTAAATATTGTTTGTTAATTTATTTATTTAACAACTGTTTTATGCCAGCACAGGAACACAAGTCAACATAGTTCACAAGAGTTGCAAGATGTAATCTCAATACAAGTCCAACATAAACAGATGATGATCTTCATCCTCTTTAGGTATTAGATGTCAAAGTTGCACCATCATGGCAGCATCATGTGACGTATCGGGACTTTTCCCCCCTTCGCTAAACTGGACATTGGCATGGCCAGTGCATGACTCAGCCGGCCCATGGCCCACGATTTTCACAGCCCTGTATTAGATGGTTAAATGGTTAAAATGCCAGTTTCAAATGTATGTTTTTAACAGGCTCTGAAAGGCCCTGAGTATGACAAATGTGGGCAATGCATTCTACAATCTAAGGGCCACTATCAAGAAATAAAGATAGGGAAATAAATATATATGTGTATACTTTTATTAAAAAGCTGTTAGGAATGGTAAAACTTCAAAAGAATATGAATATTTTAAATTGTTCTGCTATTTCCAACATATCTAATTGGATGTTATTCTAAACTTATTGAGAGTTATATAAAATGTTATAATAATTCACATACATACATATTTATTCTTTAAAATACTCATCTATCTTCAGTTTATAGTGTAATTCTGTCTTTTTAATGGGCTCAATAAATGGATTTATATGAGTCAGACTGCAGCTGTAATTTTTAGTTCATAGAGGTGCCCTCTGGGAGAGGTTGTCTGGGTTGTTACGTGGATAGCCAGCATGATGCAAATTAGGAACAGGACTGGGATGACTCACATTCAAGCACACCTTCATCTGTGAAAGTTATTGGAAGACTTGTGCATTCTGATCCAATTGTATGTGATCATTTTGGGTTTATGAGACCAAAGAATGTGGACAAATATTGATTTTGTTCTAAACATTGCCCAGTTTAATATATAATTAAATGGCCATTCTAATGTTTGTATCCGTATATTTTGTCTATCTATCTATCTATCTATCTATCTATCTATCTATCTATCTATTATCATCTATCATCTATCACCCATCCTTAGTTCTTCATCAGAGGTCCTTCATCAGTTGCATCATCTATCTGATGTGTGGAGGATAACAGACAGGGACTTTCTGTATAGCACTAGGGTTCAGCAATTGAAGCAATGTCTTTTGTGCATGAGCAAATAAGCTTATAGTTATTATTTTAATTTCACAAAACAGTTATTTTATAATGACAATTGGGATGTATTTGCTGAGGGTAGAATCTTTGAAATTGTGATCTAAATTGCAGTGTTATCTAATCTTTGGTCAGTATTTCTACCAACTTTGCAGATCGTGTTCTAATTCACCAAGTGTATTATTCATATATTATTGCGCAACTAAGAACAAAAGTAATGGGTTAACTTTCAATAACATCAAAGGGATGCTTTAAAATCATAGTTTTCATTCTGCTCCCTGAAAGGACGGTTCAGCTGCAGCTCACTTATTGACTTCTTTGTACATGCATTTAATGACTGGTTGACCATTTAGACAAGTATTCGGTATCTTAATATTAGAAGTGGTAGCATTTTGAGATGAAATGTAAATTCTGTTCAATTATAGCTCCTCCTAATATCACTAATTAACAGATGTTACCACCTAATCCAAGACCCATGAGATTACTCATTTATGAGCAAAATGCACATACAGATGTTTGGAGGCTCTCTTCTCCATTCTGCTTGCAGGTGCAAAGAAAAATAGCATCAACAAATGCATGCTATGGGAGGTTCAATCTTCAAGATTTGATTCAGCTTCAAAAAACAGATGTAGAGGTTTGCATCATGCAAAATGAAAGATTGAATTTGTGTCAGTGCCTTGTTGTGAAGCAGTGAAAATGGCTTCATAAGCACCAATAAGCTGGAAAGAATTTTTGAAGTACTCTGGAACACCATAAACTCTATTTGTACTGAAGGTGGGGTTCTATTTGTATATAGCTCAACAGACAATTCTGCTATAAAGCATTGCTGTTCTTTAGCAGGAGATGATAGAACAAGATTGAAGAGACCCTGATTAGTATCCAGGATACACTATAGCAAAAATTGAGCTAGGATTGATTAAAAGTAATGTTGGAAATAAAATGGTAAAAATGGTAATGATTAGAGGTGGGGTTTTTTTTTTCATTTCTAGTTCCAGAAACTGGTTTATAACTGTAACAAACTATTCCAGTTGCATAATAAATTGTATGTACATTAATCTATCTGAGTAATTAATGCATGTTGTCCTCAAAAGTAATCGTTCATGGATTTTGAGTGTTTGCAGAGATGGCCTCATCCACCATTCTGAACCAAAACCTGAATTAGCAAAATACAATTGTTGTGTTTACATATATTATGCCTGATTAGATAAACCATATTATGATTTATTACAGAGAGTCCTCACCAACCAACCAGTAGCTATTCAAAGTTGTGAGAACACTAAATAAGGAGACTTGTGACTAGTCTTCGAAGTTGTGGCAATTGCAGAGTGGCTGCAGTGATAAGATCGGCATTTTCAGCTTCACAGCCAGCTTCTGACAAGCAAAATCAAAGGGGAAGCTGGCAGGAAGTTGCAAATCACAGTCATGTAAGATCACACATACTGTAACAATGCAGTAATTTGCTTAATGACAGCAACCAGAACTGATGAACTGCCATCGCATGTCAGGTATGATCATGCAAAATTACAAATCATGTTAGTGATTGAATTGCGAGCCCAATTGCTATCTGGAAGTTAGGATGATCTGTGTTATGATGTGCTTCACAAATATACTGAAACAACATGCTATTCCCACAAATTACCCAATCTCACCATAGCAAATGATATGATCCCAGTCAATACATACTAAAAAAAAAGAAAAAAGAATTAATCAAGCCTCTACCAGTTTTTTACCCACAGTTCAATTCTGTGAGAAATAGAGATGGTTCAAAACATAGCTCAGTGCAAAATACATGTTTTTGAATGTAAAGGGTTCTTGATCCAATTCTTCTCACTTCCAGCGAAGTCCAAGGAGATGGGGGGGGGCTGGGACCTTAGAGAGCTGGTACAAATCACATCATACATATTGGGCTATATGATTTAATCTACAAAAATCTGAATAACGTCCAGATAGCAGCAAAGTGTAAGAGTTACTTATATTTATGTGCCAAAAAGGCAGTATTCTACATTCATTCCATTCTGAGATGAAGACGGGATTTATCACAAAATCATAAAGAGATTACTGTGGAGACCACATCTGTAAAGAGGCTGAAAAATTATATATTTAAATCTTTCAGTAAATGCACACAGGCAATGTGGAATGACTTTTGTTTTTAGTAATCTGTGCCACAAACTAACTCTGCACCATCTGTGCAGTTGTTTTTCCTCATTCCAATTTGGAAGCTTGAAGGTCCATATTCTTTGTAGAAAAGTTTTTCCAACATACTTTCCAAATTCTCTGTTTAGTATTATAGCGGTAATGAATACACTGAAAACATGTTTATATAGACTATGCATTGTATCTGATGGTAGGTTTAGAATATGCAGAATTTCAATGTGGTATACTTGGAAAGGGCTCAGATCCCATGTTTAGCAGTAGGTGGGTAAAATCTCATGCATGCAATTGTTTTTCAGAAAGTTCACTGCGTAGAATCTGAAAGAAACTACAGTATGTTATTTTATAAAATGCCTTTCCTCTCTGGATTACCAGAAGCGGGAAAGAATGACTTGATTTACACATCACACTAAGCTTAATGTGATTTCTTTGCTTTTGGCTCATTATGATATGTAAATAGGCTCACTGCATAAATCATGGTTTGTTTCAGGCCAATAAGCTAACTTGAAAAAATAGTTTTTTGGCTTGCTGATGTAACTACAGCTTAAGATATATATATGAAAGCATGCTTTATTTGTCATTTCTAGGATTATTGTTAGCATGTTCCTGTAGTCTACCCAAGCCTTCAAAGAAAGGGGAAACAAGCTAGCAATTGTCAGACAGAATCACGCTTCAGAATAAGCCTTAATGTGGTTTGCTTGGTTTACATTTACATACATTTAGACATTTGATATAAACCAGAGTTTTAGGCTTACTGCAATGTGTGTAACTAGCATGCTATACTTTATTAAAAAAAAAAAAAACTAATGGTAAGCAAACAGTGTCTTATTATGATATATAAAGTTAGTATTCGTTTGTTTGTTTGTTTATTTGTATGTTTATTAAATTTGTATGGTGTCCTTCTCTCTACTATTATCAGTAAAATATGTCTTTATCCCATATTTGGCCATTAGCACACCTTATCATTGCTGAGGGACTATGTAGTATGTATGCCTGCTCATATTAGTCACAGATTGATTGGTTTTACAAGATATTATAAACATCAGTTGGGATAGTTCCATGGAATACATATTAATTCCTTAAAATACTGTATATATTTTAAATACATAAATAAATACATAAAATGTATTCAATGGAATACATATTAATTTCTTAAAAACTGCTAAATGGTTATCGATCTTGTCTTTGCACACTGCTGTTCCCATCAGCTGAAATATTATGATTCCAAAATAAAACAATTTTCTTGATTACTAACAGTATTAATTACCCTAGCACACTATAGTATTCATCAGACTGACAGGGTCAACTACAAATTCAAAAAATCATCCAAGCATTACTGTGATCGTCCCGTGCGCTCCCACAGAGAGGGCCTCCTCAGGGTGCCATCAGCCAATCAATGTAGGCTGGTGACCCCAGGGGGAGGGCCTTCTCTGTGGGGGCACCTACCCTCTGGAATCAGTTGCCCCCAGAGATAAGGAGAATCCAAGACCTTAGTGCCTTCTGCCCTGCCCTTAAAACCCACTTTTTCCAGCAAGCCGGGCTGGCTTAAGAAGAAATTTTAAATGTTTTAATTGGTTTGTATTTTTAATTTTGGGCCAAATTTATATATATATTAATTGTTTTTTAATATTTGTATTTCATGTTTTTTAATTCTGGCTGTACACCGCCCTGAGTCCTCAGGGAGAAGGGCGGTATATAAATTTAAAAATAAATAAATAAAATTAAACAATTAACATTAATTCCCCTAATTCTAAAGCTATTCTACTGCTAACAGAAATTTGGGAGAATAAACAGGATAGATGGATATCAATGGGATGGGATTATAATATGCAATATTAACCAGTGATGTATCCCATCATGCCTATAGTATTCTCCTGCATTCCTGAGGACGTCTGCAGCAATATGTGTAAAGATAACCTATGAGCGATCAGAAGTTAAGCTGGCATGATAACATTTTATTTAACCTTAT